CTAGCAAAATATTTAACTTAAATATTTAGCTAGTAAGTTAAATATTTAGGTAGCTGGCTAAATATTTAGGTTGCAAGTTAAATATTTAGCTAGCTACCTAAATATGTAGGTTGCTAGTTAAATGTTTAGCTAGTTACCTAAATGTTTAACTTAAATTTTTAGCTAGCAAATTAAATATTTAGGTAACTAGCTAAATATTTAAGTTGTAACCTAAATATTTAACTTACTAGCTAAATATTTAACTTAAATATTTAGCTAGCAAATTAAATATTTAGGTAACTAGCTAAATATTTAAGTTGCAACCTAAATATTTAACTTACTAGCTAAATATTTAACTTAAATATTTAGCTAGTAAGTTAAATATTTAGCTAGCTACCTAAATATTTAGGTTGCAACTTAAATATTTTGCTGGCAAGTTAAATATTTAACTTAAATATTTAGCTAGCTACCTAAATATTTAGGTTGCTAGTTAAATGTTTAGCTAGTTACCTAAATATTTTAGCTAGCCACCTAAATATTTAACTTCAATATTTAGCTAGCAAATTAAATATTTAGGTAACTAGCTAAATATTTCAGTTGCAACCTAAATATTTAGCACAAGACGAAATGTTTAAGTCACAAGTTAAATATTTAGTTCGTTAACTAAATATTTAATTTGTAAGTTAATTTTTTAGTTTATAATCTGTGACATTTATAAACGTATGAATCATATGGTCAAAAACTGACTTTGAAAAATAAATCTGTTCTTTTTTTCTTATAAAAGGCTAAATAAAACAAAATATTGATGGTAATTTTTGACTGTGTAACTTTACAAATGGCACCCCAGACACATTACAGTGCCTGATTTAAAAGTCGAACTCTGCAAACATAAAAAAAAAAACGTGTAAAATTCTAACGAAAAAGCTCAAAAGTTGCATAAAACTAATGGAAACGTGGCGCCCACGCAGCACTCGGCTCAAGCACCGGATCAAATCAGACCTCGGTGGCTGTGCCATTGTTTGATGTTCACCATTGGAGAGCTGTGATTTTATGCTCCTTTTTATTAACTGGAATTCCCAAAGCTAAAAGCCTGACAGCGATACGTTTACACGCCGTTTTGTCAGAAATCGAACCTAAGGACAAACTGCAATCACTCGAGCGTCGCGGAGCAGCAGCTCTGAAAGCTGGAGACACGTTTTCGAACCGAGCGGCTTCCATCCTGCAGATGGGCTTCAGCTGCACCGCCAGCACTGAGGCCTGAAGCTCCCTTTGTTTCCAAAGCCTGGGGTTAATAATAACACTTTAATGAAAATCACTGCGAGACTCTGTTGCACAATGCATGCTTAATAAACAACGATGCCATTCAAAATACGTCAGAGATTCGAGGTAAGCTGCTTCCTCTTCTTTATGCAGATTTTCTATGAAACAGCTGCAACCAGTGGTAAAAAAGCCCCTGTTTTCAAATTAGTTCTTATATCACAACACCAAAAATAAAAAGCTGACAGTAATCGCTTGTGATTGTACATCAACTCTCAGACATTCAAGACACAGTTTTGTTTTATTGATCTATTATTCATGTTGGAGCAAAAGCAACAGGAACCAAACACAGATTGTAAAGTCTTTGGATGACTGGCTGCTGCTTTGTTTCTCTATTATAGCTGGGAAAAAAAGGTAGGGAGGATAAATCATAAAAACAGCACCTTTAAACAGAATTTACTGTAATATGTCAACGTATTTAAGGCCTTTATGTGCCCTTTTGTGCCGGTTTGACAGATGTGTTAAACAATAACCTTATATTACCACATCTTATTTGGCTGTTGGTCATGTTTGATGTGTGGAGTCAGAATTAAGAGGCCAGTCTGTTTCTAAATTTAGATTTCGGCGGTTACTTCAAATCAACAAATCACCCTGGTGGGATTTTAGCTGGATGAAATGTCCGACTTTGGGCTTAAGGTTAATTAAAGGATAATTTAACAGTTTCAAAACAAACAAAAACTGAGTGAGCAAACTACCACATTACAGTTCATTCATACAAAGATTAATAATAGATACATCTGTTTCCCAAAGTGCTGCTAAATTTAAAAAAAACATATTTTTTGTCTAATTTCACTTCAAGCTGTTGTTTTATTGTGATTATTTGGACTCAGTATCTGTCAAAGGTTTGCTGGGATGCCTCAGCTGACTCGGTCCTTGGGCGAAACGCTGGAGCCCCCCACTGACTTCAATATGCTTAACATGTACGAATTAAAAAAAACACAACAGGTGTAGAAGGAAATATGTAACAGAAAGTGCTGTAAGAAACTGTGTGAACACAAAAGAAAAAAAGCATGTAGAACCAGATGAGGTGAAAAGGTGAAATCTCCTGTCTGTGTTGACTTTGTGAGGTTTCCTTCAGACATTTTAAAATAGGAGTTTGGCAAAAAATGTTATGAATCATCATTATCTTGCTTTTGTTGTCAAAACGGGTGCAGTTTCTGCCTTTAAATGTTTCTGGGAGCTTTTATTTTGAAAACTAGGGGGTGTCAGACAACTTCCTCTGGTCTCACTTTTAGTTTGACACTTTTACGAAAAATAAAAAAGTCWAATTTTAAAGAATTTCAGGAGTGACTGTTAAACAGTTAATTCTAGATCTACAAGCTTAATGACTAGTCCCATTAAAACCAGTCCAGCCCATAATTGTTCCACACTTGATCCACTGTATTGATGTTTGGGTAAAATCATGCAAAACAATTACAAACTCAACTTTAATTTTACAGAAAAGAGCTGTAAGAATTATCACCAGGAAGCATTATTATCACCCATCAAACCCATTGTTCCACCAGTTAAAGTTATTGAAATTCAATGATTTGGTTAATTATGGTATTTTATCAGTCATGTTTAGGGCTCATAAAAAACATATTACCTTCAAACATTTAATTACACTTAGTTAAAAGACGGAGTTGTTATAATCTCAAAGGGATAAAGA